TTTTTTTTGAGATAGAGTCTTGCTCTGTCGCCCAGGCTGGAGTGCAGTGGTGCGATCTTGGCTCACTGCAATCTCTGTCTCCTGGGTTCAAGCAATTCTCCTGCCTCAGCTTCCCAAGTAGCTGGGATTACAGGCATGAACTTCCATGCCCAGATAATTTTTTAATCTTTAGAAGAGATGGGGGTTTCACCATGTTGACCAGGCTGGTCTCGAACTCCTAACCTCAGGTCATCCACCTGTCTCGACCTCCCAAGGTGCTGGGATTACAGGTGTGAGCCATTATACCCGGCCACTCAACACTATCTTTAACAATATTATCACAGTATTAAAAAAATTAGTATTGTTCATCTTTTGTCATACCTCCTGGCTGCTTGGAGCAGAGAAAGTCAGTGGGACTCTAGGGTAGCTGGATAGAGATCCCGCATCCTAGTGCTTCTGCCCCTACACCAGTGGTTCTCAGCCAGGGATAATCCCTTCATTGGGGACTCTTTTTTTTTTTTTTTGAGATTTTTTTTTGAGACTATGTCTCTCTGTTGCCCAGGCTGTAGTGCAGTTGTGCAGTCTTGGCTCACTGCAGCTTCAATCTTCTAGCTCAAGCAATCCTCCCACCTCAGCCTCCTGAGGACCTGGGACTACAGGTGCATGCCACCATGCCCAGCTAATTTTTCTAGATGTGGGTTTTCACCATGTTGCTCCAGGATGGTCTTAAACTCTCAGCCTCAAGTGATTCTCCCACCTTGGCCTCCCAACGTGCTGGGACTACAAGTGTGAGCCACCCATGCTCAACTGACAGTTTTTAATCGTTATGACTGGGGTTGGTGGTGGCCCTGGCATCTGGTGGGTAGAGGCCAGGGATGATATTAAGCATTGCACAATGCACTGGTTGGCCCCTACTATGAAGAATTGTCTAGCTTGAATGTCAAAAGCATTAAGGTTGAGAAACCTTGTGCCATCCTGCACCTGTGTATGTGCCTAGCAGCAGCTGGCTCTTCAGCCAGCTCATTATTTCCAAAAGAGACTTGAGCTTGGAATCCAAAGGCCTCAGCCTCAGTTTCCTCATCCAGTAAATGGGAATGCTGAAGACTGCCTTATCAGCAGTCATTCCATCTTCTGATGGTTGGCTCTGCTGGGCACTTCCCTGGCCTAGGCTATCTCTACTGGTCCCTTCCTATCTTTTTCCCAGGTGTGGGGAAACCCATCTAATTGGCTTTTCTTCATTTGTTTGACTTCTGATATTTCCCATTCTGAGAGTGGCCTCTGGGGCCCCACAGCCACCATCTGAAACCATGCAGGCTGTGCGCCCCAGCCATCTCTGACTACTCCTGGTATTGTGGGTGGGAGCTGCTGGTCTTTTTCCTTTGAAGCACGCCTGGACATGTGAAACTCTTCTATTCGTGTGTTGATTTGTTGACTGTATTCCTCCCCACACGCCTCCGCCCTGAGGACAGACACTGAGCCTGCTGTCCCTGGCACACTGCACAGTGCCTGGCACATAGTGGGCATACAGGAATGTATTTGTGGTTCTATGAGGCGAGAGGCAAAAAGAGAGGATAAGGTGAGGGGACAGATTTAGAGAAGGGGGAAAAGAGAGAAAAGGAATAGAGAGGAGGAGGGAGTTGAATGAAAGTTAAATGCTGAGAGATCTAAGTATGGGGGAAAGCGGGCAGGGCGGGGCGGGGGTCCAGCCTGAGACTTGAGCAAAAGGTGGACTTGCCAGAGAGAGGGAGGGGTACAAAGAAAGATGAAAAGGGTGGAGAAAAGAGAAAGGAATGGAGACACAGAATGAAATAGAGAGAGAGGCAGAGAGAACGTGCAGGCAGAAAGCAAAGGGAAGAAAACCTCCCCGAGGCCTCAGTGCTCAGGTTGCAGAGGGGAGGACCGCCTGCAGGAGCCGGCGTCGCGCTGCTGGGAGCGCCAGAATGCAGGCGCGGTTTCCATGGAGACGGGGATGCTCCCGGCGGGAGCCACAGACTCCAATGGGACCCGCGCCTCTGGCACCTTGGGAGTGGACGGCCAGAGAGGGGACAAAGGGACGGTGTGGATTTGCCCCTCCTCCGGCTCTTTCCCATTCCTGCCTCTTGCTGGAGATTTAGAGCCCGGGACTAGGGAGGCAAGAGCACATCCGCCTGGGAAAGGGCCCTGGGGACTCCGAGGGTGGGGGAAGGACGGGCTGAGACCACTCCTTGCCCTGCCCCGTTCCCTTCCTTGGCGTTTGACCCTCCTATCCTTTCACATAGGGTCCTGGAGGGTCTGGCAAAGTGCAGGGCTATGTGGGGAGATGGATGGCCAAACCTTCTCTGCAGGCCCCTCCTCCTCCTCCCGCCCTGTTAATGCTGGAGCACCATGGCTCAGTCCTAAGCTTCTCTTCAATTTCCACCTTTTTCATTCCTGGGGATGTAAATACCTACAAGTGCCCACAGTTCCCAAATTTGCATGACCAGCCCTGGCTTTTCCCAGAGCTCTGGCCTGTTCAAAGTTGCTGATTCTTTAACTCACCCACCTTGTTCCCACCACAGGGCTTTGCTTTTACCATTCCCTTTGTCTGGAACTCTTTTCCCAGCCCTTAGGTGGTGAGGTCCGCTGGAGTGGAGAATTGTCTTGGAGGAGGAGCGTTGGTGGGGGGCGGAGCCCTGCTGCAGTGCCTGTGTGACCACAGTATTGTACGGGGAGCCTGCACCTGGAAGAAGGGCACGAGTTGGGGAGAAGGGGAGGACTGGCTGAATCTGACAGTGCCACGATGGGGAGGAGGGCCCACTCCATGGAAGCCAGAGGAGGCTGGGGCCTGGGAGCATTCCCTCCACAGTAGATGTGGGAAGGATCTGGCCCAGCCAAGGGCCCCCTCCCACCCTGGGGACTAGATGGGCCAGGTGGACACTGGGCAGAGCTGACCGCCACCCCCACTTTGCATTGCTGCCATCTAAAGCCCAGGCTAAGCACCCCATGGGCCTGGTGCAGGCTCGAGGTCCCCACGGTTCCAAACAGAGCCCAGTGGAACCTTTGGGTCTCAGACACAGTAACCCAAATCCTGGCAGGACTGACAGTACGAGGGCCCCATCAAACTGGTGACAGAGCTGGTGGAGAGGAAGAACCCCCGTCTCCACAGTGGCCTGCCAAACCCGGGGGTTCTGACGGCCCTGTGATGCGGCACGTGCTGCTCTTCAAGCCAATCACTGTTACTAGAGGAACACACTGTGCTGATTAGCTCAGGCTTGGATCTCATCCGCGAGGCTAAGTGCTGACCAAGGGCCCACCTGGGCTGGGATTGGGACAGGTGGGTCGCTAAATCCAAAGCAGGTGGATGCTAGCTGGGAAACCATTGCCCAAGCCCTTCTGAGCCTGCCCCCTCTCCTCTTCTTTGCCTTTTTCCTCCTCACCTGAAACCCACTCTCCACATTACTTTCTTAGGTAATTATTACTTTTGGCGTTATAACTGGTTTTGATAACAGCCAAGATTTACTCAGAACTTACTGTGCCAGGCACTTTACATTTTGCTGCCTTCTGTAATCTTTAAAACCACTTGAGGATACTATTATTATTCCCATTGTACAGATGAGGAAACAGGCTTAAAGGTGAAGGAATTTGATCAGTGTGGCACATCTAGAAAATAGCTGAGCCAGGATTTGAGACCCAGACTTCTTAATTGCTTTGCTATTACACACCTCTCCCCACACCACGCAGCTAAAATCCAAGTATCCTACCTCCTAGGCCTAGTCTAGTGCCTGGCATATGGTAGACCGGGGTAAATACTACCTGAGTGCCTGGCACTGTGCTAAGTTTCTTGCACAAATTACTTCATTTAATCCTCCTAATAGCTCTGTGAAGTAAGTACCATGGTATTGACTGAAACAGGCCTGTTCAAGTTCGGTGGCATCCCTCATGGTCATACAGCCAAGTTAGGGGAAGAAGTAGGCTAAGTCCTATCACTGGCACTCTGTGGTCTGTGCTTCTAGCAAAGTGCTCAAATTGCATGAATGCTATGTATTCCAGCATCATGAATGAAAGGAAAACGGTGCCCAATAAACATTTGATGAGTGAATGACAAGAATTTAAAAAACGAAGAACAATGAGGGCAGGCATGGTGGCTCACACCTGTAATCCCAGCACTTTGGGAGGCTGAGGCGGGGAGATCACTTGAGGTTGGGAGTTCGAGACCAGCCTGGCCAACGTGTTAAACTCCGTCTCTTCTAAAAATACAACAATGAGCTGGGCATGGTGGGGGGCACCTGTAGTCCCAGCTACTCAGGAGGCTAAGGTTACAGTGAGCCGAGATCTCACCATTGCACTTCAGCCTGGGCGACAGAGAGAGACTCCATCTCAATAATTATACTGATGATGGGAGACGGAGTTGGTCCTGATGCTAGAGGAAGTTGAAGGAGGTGGCTGCGGATAGCTGTTTTCTCATATTCCCAGAAGGCTTCCTGGAGAATTTGATCTGATGGGGGAGCGCGAGGGCGTTTCGGGTTCCAGAAAGTTGCTGCTACCCATCCTAGACCTCTTTCTCTCTCCCTTTTCCCTGCCTCCACCCTCTCTCTTTCCCTCTCTGGAAGTGGGTAACAAGCACGTGGTTGGGTTGATGTTCCTGCAATAATACCTGGCCCAGACTGCAGACACTAGGGAGTAATGATCTTCTTCTCTTCCTTCCTGAACGTGGTGGTGGGCCCGGTGCTCGTGCCCCTCAGCTCTGTGCCTCGTCCTGGGCTGCATGATCTTCCCTGACGGCTGGGACGCCGAGACCATCCGGGACATGTGTGGGGCCAAGACGGGGAAGTACTCCCTGGGGGACTGTTCGGTGCGCTGGGCGTACATCCTGGCCATCATCGGCATCCTCAACGCCCTCATCCTCTCCTTCCTCGCCTTCGTGCTGGGCAACCGGCAAACAGACCTGCTGCAGGAGGAGCTCAAGCCGGAGAACAAAGGCGAGTGTGCTGTGGGCTGGGGGACAGCGGAGGGAGCCAGGCCTGCTCCGGGGAGGTGGGACAACTTCAAATAAAAGGAGTAGGAGGGATGCATGAATTGGAAACCCGGGCTGGGCACGGTGGTTCGTGCCTGTAATTCCAGCACACTTTGGGAAGCCAAGGCAGGTGGATCACTTGAGCCCAGGAGTTTGAGAGCAGCCTGGCCAACATGGCGAAACCCCCTCCCTCCAAAAATACAAAAACCAGCTGGGCGTGGTGGTGAGTGCCTGTGGTCCCAGCTACCCAGCAGGCTGAGGTGAGAGGATCACCTGAGCCTGGGAAGTTGTGGCTGCAGTGAGCTGTGATTGTGCCACTGCACTCCATCCTGGATGATAGAGTGAGAGGCTATCTCAAAAAAAAAAAAAAAAAAAAAAAAGAAGCAGAAGAAGAAGAAACCTGACAGTACAGCCACCTTTTAAATTATTTGGCATTTTTCCTCAGATCTGTTCATTTGCCTATGACCCAGCGAACCCTCCTCGGGTACAAACCCATGAGAAGTGTGCAGGGGTGCTGGTGGCCGCAACTTCACTATAACAAACAACTACAAACAACCTCATGGCCATGGACGGGAGGCCGGATAAAGACATGTGGCATGTTCCCATCACAGGGCAGTTCACAGCTGTGAAATGTCGCACTTCAGTTATATGTACCACGGTGGATATATCTCAGCAATATAATATTAAGAGAGGGGGGAAAAAACCAAGTTCCAGAAGATGACAGAGTGATATATTTATTGAGCTCGAAACTAAGCAAAACTAAGCAATATATTGTTTAAACACACATGTATTTGTGGCAATATTTTTTTTAAAAAGCAAAGAAATAATAAATATGAAAGATAAGATGACAGTCATTTGTGTTTATGATGGAAGGGGAGGAGGTCAAGTATATGAGATGGAGCATGGAGGTATATGCAAATTATGGGTAGAGTTATAGTTCTTTTTTTTTTTTGTCCTTGAGATAGAGTCTTGCTCAGTTGACCAGGCTGGAGCGCAGTGGCACGGTCTGAGCTTACTGCAACCTCCACCTCCCAGGTTGCTAGAAATAGATGTTCAGTGCCACAAAGAAAAATCAGCACTGAGACAAAGAATTTTTCAGTAAAGCAATTTTTACTTCCTGGACTGCAGGAAGGGTACTCCAGTAGCCATCATGCCACGAGAGTACAAAGAACAAAGGGAGACAGACACAAATTTATTTTTTACGCATTTGGGGTCGTCCTTACTGCTGTGTTTGATCTCTGTTGGCTGCAGCCAGACCTCACAATTTAAACTTTTCTAAACAAGTAGAAGCAGTGGAGAGCTAGGAAATGCCTGTGAGCACATTCAGCACATATATCTTGGTTAAAGTACAAGGACATAGAATGTGCTATATGCAGGGCTGGGCGCGGTGGCTCACGCCTGTAATCCCAGCACTGTGGGAGGCCGAGGCGGGTGGATCACGAGGCCAAGAGATCGAGACCATCCTGGTCAACATGGTGAAACCCCGTCTCTACTAAAAATACAAAAAATTAGCTAGGCATGGTGGTGTGTGCTTGTAATCCCAGCTACTCGGGAGGCTGAGGCAGGAGAATTGCCTGAACCCAGGAGGCGGAGGTTGTGGTGAGCCGAGATCGCGCCATTGCACTCCAGCCTGGGTAACATGAGTGAAACTCCGTCTCAAAAAAAAAAAAAAAAAAAAGAATGTGCTATATGCCTGTAAGCACAGCATGTCGAGAAGCTACATAGGATAGGGTTCAACACAGTTATTAGCACACTTATTCTTTAACAAGAAAGGTAACTTTAAAAAGGAACGTTTCTACTTCCCACACAGGTTCAAGTGATCCTTGTGCCTCAAACTCCTGAGTAGCTGGGATTACAGGCATGCGCCACCACACCGGGCTAATTGTATTTTTAGTAGAGATGGTGTTTCACCATGTTGGCCAGGCTGGTCTCAAATTCCTGGCCTCAAGTGATCTGCTTGCCTCAGCCTCCCAAAATGTTGGGATTACAAGAATGAGCCACCACACCTGGCTGAGGTATAGTTATTGAATGGTGAGCTCACCAGTGTTTATAAGAGATCAGGGTCATGGAGGGGTCTCACTCTGTTGCTCAGGCTGGAGTACAGTGGTGCAATCATAGCTCACTATAGCCTCAAACTCCTGGACTTAAGCGACCCTCCTGCCTCAGCCTCCTGAGTGGCTGGGACTACAGGCACGCACCATCACGCCTGACTAATTTTTGTATTTTTTGTAGAGACGAGGTTTCCCCATGTTGCCCAGGCTGGTCTTGAACTCCTGGCTTCAAGCAATCCTTCTGCCTTGGCCTCCCAAAGTGCTGAGATTACAGGTGTGAGCCACATTACCTGATACATTGTATGCTTTATAATTAGTGTATTGCATATAAATATTCATATATATCAAGTAGCATTAAAATACAATAAAGAAAAAGGGCCAGGTTTTGGAGAACTCCAGAGCTCCAATAACTTGCCCAAGATCACTTAAGTGGTGAAGACAGAATCTGAACCCAGGTCCAAGTCCAAAGCCCAAGCTCTTCCCCGCTGTCATGCTGCCTGTCTCAACCTGGTGAGGCCAGAGATTCCCTGCACGGCTTTGGGAGCTGTCCTGGCATGCCATCTGCTCATCCGTAGTCAGAGGCAGGTTCTAAATACCTGATGCAGTCTCTCAGACCCCGGGTTTTCTGTGGACTTGGTGTGAAATCAAGGCCTGCCCTCTGGTGGCAGCTTCCAGAAGTGCAAGACTAAGACTGATCCGGCCTTTAAGAAGGGGTGTGGATGTGACTAGTGTGAGGTGGCCTGCGTCAGTGTCCCTCCCCTCCCTCCCCAAAGCCCTCTAACAACTCAGTGTTAAAAATTGATGTAAAGGAGCCCCAGTTTTCCTCCCTTGAGTGTCCAGGGAGTCTCCATCCCTCACTGGGAGTTCATGATGAGTGAGCCTCACACTTCAATTTTGACCCAAAGACCTCTGAGCCAACAGCCATGGCACGCACCTGTGGTCCCAGCTACCCGGCTGAGGCAGGAGGATCGTTTGAGCCCACGAGTTCAAGACCAGCCTGGGTGATGTAACAAAACCCAGTTTCTATTAAAAAGAAAGAAATAAAAAAAAAATTTAAAAAGACCTCTGGAACCCAAGAAAAAAATAAAATAAATTGCTTCAATTTCCAGCATATTCTATGTACCAAACACTGCCAAGTTCTTGGCTGACATTATTTGTCTCTTTTTGACCCTTCTGAATTACCCTGTGAGGTAGGCTATGATCCTCATTTTTCAGATGAGAACATCAGGACTCAGAGGGGTTAAATGGCTTGCTCAAGGCCATCCTGCTGGTCAGATGAGGCTGGGATTTCAGCACTTGTGCAATTTGTCCCCTCTGACCCTTTTCTTTTCTTTTCTTTTTTTTTTTTTTTTGAGATGGAGTTTACTCTTGTTACCCAGGCTGGACTGCAGTGGTGTGATCTTGGCTCACTGCAATCTCTGCCTCCTGGGTTCAAGTGATTGTCCTGCCTTAGCCTCCCAAGTAGCTGGAATCACAGGCATGCACCACTATACCTGGCTAATTTTTTGTATTTTTGGTAGAGACAGGGTTTCTCCATGTTGATCAGGCTGGTCTCGAACTCCTGACCTCAAGTGATCCACCCACCTCAGCCTCCCAAAGAACTGGGATTACAGGTGTGAGCCCCCGCGCTCAGCCTCTCTGCCCACTTTTGCCCTGGGGAATATGCAAGGAAAGCGCAAATGCCCTGGTAGCCTCTGACTTTCTCTAATTCTCTCTCTCTCTCTCTCTTTCTTAGATTTTGTGGGCTCTACAGTAAGCTCCGTGTTGCGGCCCGGGGGTGATGTCTCCGGATGGGGAGTCCTTCCCTGCCCTGTAGCTCACTCACAGGGACCCTGAAGGCCGGGATCACAGCCCAGGAATTGGCCTGACCTCAGCTTGTCCTGCCTCCTGCCCTCTCATCACTCCATTGAAGCTCCGAGGGAAGACCCTGATCTCAGACTCACTCCTCACCAACTATCCTGCGAGCCCCAGGCTTTGAGGAGAGGAGAGCCTGGATGCAGCCTGGGGGAGGGAAGAGGCCCTCCAGACCCTGGGAGGGTCTAATTCTTGCTCCTCCCTCAATTTGAGCTAAGGGAGTCTGCATCCACCCAATCCCTTGGGCTTCTCCTCTCCTCTCTAGACTGGCCTGGAGGTCCCTGCAGATCCCCAAGGAGAGCAGAGCAGTAGTTCCAGCTCCCCAGGCCCCCTCAGTCTGGAGGGCTGCCGCCTGGCTGTATCCACATCTCCTCTGGTCCCTGCCTCCTCAAAAAATTTATTCTAGATACTGCCCCAGGGTGGGCTGGACTCTTTCCTACTTTTTTTTTTTTTTTTTTTTTTTGCTGATGTTGGTTCTACCACATCTGCCACAGAGCTCCAGGTGCCACCAGTCTCCCCTGGGACCTCCTCTGCTCCATTCCAGCCTGCTCCCAGCTCACCCTGAGGGAGAGCTGCACTGAGGGACGGACGCACAGGGCCCTGCTGTCAGCTGCAGACTGGGGCCCTGATCAGCCCAGAGTCTGAGAAAGGACCTTCAGGCTCTGGAGGCAGCGGGAAGGGCCATGTGGCCTCGGCAGCTGGAGCTTAGAAGCTGCTCAGCCTGGACCGGCCTGGCCTCCTCTTCCTCTCTGCTGGGACATCTCACCAATGACTCAGCCCTTGACCTTGGCCTGTTTTGCCCAGGCCTCCTCTCTGCTGGGATGTCTCACCAATGACTGGACCCTTGACCCTGGCCTGTTTTGTACAGCACAGACTTCTTGGCCCTATTGTCAGGGTTGGGGGATGTGGAGGGGCCCCAGAGGTGGGGAATTAGGGGATGCATTACCCCTTCTGCCCCTTCTCATGCCCTCCACACCCCAGGCATCTACCAAGGGCAGAGACTGTCTTGTCTCTTTGATACTTTTCTGCATAACTTGAACTTGCAGGTCATCTCTGAACAGGGTACCCCTGTCCCCCCTCCCAGGCCTTGTTACCCTGTCCCAGCCTCTTCCTCCTCCTGGCCCACCTCTCGCCTTGCGGTATGCCCAGGTCTGCACCTATGGGCAGTGCTTGGAGCCGAGGCATGAGTGTATGTGTATGTGTGTGTGTGTGCGTGTGAGTGCGTGTGTGAGCGTGTGTGTGTTAGAGGGGCAGGTGAGAAGTTTCTCCCCCCTCCTCCCACTGTGGGGGCATCTTCCTCCCCCTTGGCAGGGAGCAGGTGAGGGAGGGTCCTGGTGTTTTTTGAACCCCTCATTCCCCTGTGAGTCTGGTGGCAGAGCCATCTCGCCCGGAATCCTCCCCACCCTGGGGCCTGGACAGCTCCCCTCAGCACTCCTTGCTGGTGTAGATCGGTTCGTCCAGCGTCCCCCCCGTTGAACAGGACCTGGGAGGCTGAACAGGACCTGGGAGGCGTTTGTCCTCGCAGCCTGGGAGGCACCCTGCAGGCTGCCGGGGATGCCGCCTCTGCAGGCTTTGGCAGAGGGGAGGGGACTGCTTGAGTGCCATGTGTTTGCCAACCTTGTGTTCATTTCCACAGGACTTGGACCGGAGAGTTAGGGTTTCTAAGAAAGAACCTAGAAGTCCCCTGCCGGTCTCCCCACTCTGGACCCTAGCCGGAATCAGATGCTGGGGCCTGGTGGGTTCCTGCCACTTGTAACTTACCAAGTCCTCACGCCACTCCTCCACTCACTCCTCCAGGGCAAATGCCTCCCCACAGTGCTCTGATCCCAGCGCTGGGCTCCTTGTCCCTGCCAGCGCCTTCCTGGGCAGGCAGCCTGGGGTAGGGGCGCTGCGAGACAGCAGGTCCCAGTTAAATGCGAGGGTGCTGGGAGCCCCGTGGGAGGGAGTGGAGGCAGGAGGGAGTTTCTCAAAGATGCAAACCAAAGCCCAGCACTGGAAGGGGAGAGCAGAGTTGGGAGTGAGTGAGGGGAGGGGCGGAGCAAGCGACTCGGAATGGGGGAAGACACTGGGCTGCGGAGAGGAGGGGTGCAGAGACAGGGCGATGAGAGATGAGTGGAGAAGGAGCGAGGGGGACGGAGGCACAGAGATAGCGTGAGGAGGTGAGATCGAGACAGGTGCAGAGACGGAGAGAGATGAGAGACCAGCTGAGAGGCTTCCTGAGAGCTTGGGGTGGGGGAGGGGAAATGGATGGAAAGGCAGAAAAAGGGCTCAGGAGGGGGAAGAGGCAAATGAAGAGGTGGGTTGGGGGCAAGAATGGGATGCAGGGGAAGCAGAGGGGGATGAAGGAGCCAGGATGCGGGGGTATGAGGAGGGGGGCTCTGTCTGGGCACTGGGTGAGGGGAGAGCTTCTTCCCCTGAGGACGCCTGCCAGCAGGTGTCCTGGCCATACCTTGTTCCCCAAGGACACCCACCAAACCTGTGCCCTGGTTGGGGCAGGTTTAGAAATGACCCCTCAGAGGCCGAGTCTGGAGTCCCAGGGCACAGGCAGCCAAAGCCCCACCCTTTGGGGGAAGACTGGAGTGGGGGAAACCACTTCAGAGGGCCGGGGGGGGGGTCTGGGTGACTTAGGAGTGGCCTAACAGGCGCGTGGAGGAGGAGAGGGAGGCTAGTTTCCTGATGGGGCAGCCTGACAACGTTCCCACGCCACCGCGCCTGGCCAGCTGCCGTTCTGGCAAAGCCAGGGGGTGAGGCACCAGGGAGTTTGGGGTCAGGAAGGCAGAGTTGTGTGGGCTGAAGTTTGCAAGAACCCTAAGGTGACACAGGCAAGGGGTAGAGGTCAGGGTGGGGACCAAACCATAGACCGGGGCCCTGGGTCCTGCAGAGGTGTGGACGGGGTGGGTGGCAGGTGCTCCAGCAGGGGCTCTCCTGGAGCAATGAAGACATCACCGGGAGGGGACTTTGTGGTTTGCCTCTGCTCTCATTGGGCGATCTGGCTTTAGACTTGAGGAGGAGTCAAGCAGAGGAGATCAGTGCCTGTTTCTCACCCCAGGAGGGCCTTGTTGGGCTCTAACCTAGAGCCTTCTGGCTTCGGGTCCCAAGAGAAGTCCCCCTCTAACTGTGACCCGATCAGGGGTCTGCCTGCCTTTTTCTGCCTGATCTGAGGACTCAGGAGAGGCCACGGCAGCCACAACCTAGGGGTGTTTCAATCCCTGGCCCACTGCGCTGGTCAGTTGAGTCCTTCTGGGCACTGGGGCTATGAAAACTTTCGTCTTTGGGGACCGGTACCCATGGAGGAAAACTGCTTTCCTGAGGGGGTGAGGACCAAAGAATCAAGATCCTTTTCAGGCCTGCAATAGCCAAGATGATGAGAACTTTTAGATAAGGCTGTGGGGAGAGTCCCTGGCCTTTTGAACATACTGTTTGGGCACAGGGGGAACAACCCTTCTCCAGCTTCCAGTGTGAACTGAGAATGGGAAGCCCTGTCTTTGGAGAAGCTGGGATCTTCCCAGCATGAGAAACTTCTGCAGGCCCCTGCCTGGCTCACGGCTAACCTTTGGGTAGGACTGGAGTTTCCTGAACAGGGAACAAGGGAGCCACAGTCCTTCCGCAGAGCTCTGACGGGCAGGCCTCTGGGGGCCTGTGCTGTGTGCTGTTAGGATAGCTTGGTGTTGTCTACACCCCATTAGTAAGTTTTGTCTGAGTGTGTCCTCGCTGTTCATTGTCTAATTTGGTAACATTTATTTTGGTCCTGACCCCTTCTGCTGCTGCTGGGTTTGAGCTTCAGTGCAGGTGGAATGACATGCAAATAAAGAAACACTTTCTATCACCCATGCTGGCTGTTGCTTCTCTGAGTCATTGGAATCAAGAGGGGTCAGATTCCAACCCCATGGATCATGTTTGGCTGGTATTAACAGAGCCCTACCACTGTGGCTGAACAAGAGTTTATTCTACCATCACATTAAAAAAAAAAAAAGAAAAACCCTGGAGGTGGGTAGATCACGACTGCTATGGCCCTCAGTGTTATCCAGAACCCAGGCTCCTGTCTTTCTGCACTGCCATTTTCAATTCTGGCTACATCCTCAAGAACACCTCATGGCCCAACATGGCTGCTGCAGCTCTGGTGACTTGGTCCACATTTCATTAGAAGACTTCTGGAAATTCCAGGCCGAGCGCTGTGGCTCAAGCTTGTAATCCCAGCACTTTGGGAGGCCGAGGTCGGGGGATCACAAGGCCAGGAGATTGAGACCATCCTGGCTAACATGGTGAAAACCCATCTCTACTAAAAATACAAAAAATTAGCCAGGTGTGGTGGCACACACCTGTAGTCCCAGCTACTCGGGAGGCTGAGGCAGGAGAATCGCTTGAACCTGGGAGGCGGAGGTTGCAGTGAGCCGAGATCACACCACTGCACTCCAGTGTAGGTGACAGAGCAAGACTCTGTCTCAAAATAAAATAAAAGACTTCTGGAAATTCCACAGGAATGTGTCACATGGGCCACATAACTGAAAAGGAGGCTGTAAAAATGTGATCTGTTATCTGGGTGCATTGCCAGCCCAAATAAAATTGGGCCAGGCGAGGTGGCTCACCCCTGTAATCTCAGCACTTTGGGAGGCTGAGGCTGGTGGATCACCTGAGGTCAGGAATTTGAGACCAACTTGGCCAACATGGCAAAACCCCGTCTCTACTAAAAATACAAAAATTAGCCAGGCATGGTGGTGCATGCCTGTAATCCCAGCTACTTGGGAGGCTGAGGCAGGAGAATTGCTTGAACCTGGGAGGTGAAGGCTGCAGTGAGATAGCGCCATTGCACTCCAGACTGGGCAACAGAGCAAGACTCTGCCTAAAAAAAAAAAAAAAAAAATGGGCGGAGGGTTCTGTTACATAGAAGAAAGGAGTGAATAGAAGGAGTGATACAGTAGTCTCTGCGCACCGCTGACAGCACAGGCTTTACTTTTCCAAGTCCATACAAGTGGAAAAGAGTGGAGCCTCATTTGCTCTAGCCAGAGTGCTCAGTCCAGTTACTTTGCCTCTCTCTAAAGCCCCATTGAATCATTGAATAAATAGGGAAAACAATAGTGACTCCCTGCAAGGGAAGCCGTAGCAACACACCAGGGAATGCGTGCACCCTGCTCCGCAGGTGTCTGCACACTCTAATGTCCCCGGTATCAGGTAGCTACACTGAACACTTGGAAATGGGGTCCTCTTCCAACACATTTTAAGCACTTAGGGTATGCTAAGCACTTAAGCTAGAGAAAATGAACAAAACAGAGATCCGGTCTTAAGCCTACGTCTGGCTGAGGAGATGAACATGTGACAATAATGCATGACTTGCTACGTGCACGATATTGTCAGTGTCCTAGGCAGGGACACCGTAAATGGCTTTTGGTGGAGTGGGCAGGGTAGGAGGAGGTTTTGCTGTAGGATGAGAA